CTACCTCATACATAATTAAACAAAACAACCAAACAATAATAAATACTCATCTGTGGCAGGGCGTGGTGGCTCATGCCTGTAATCCAAGCACTTTGGAGGCCAAGGTGGGCGGATGACCTGAGGTCAGCAGTTCAAGACCAGCCTGACCAACATGGTGAACCCCGTCAAAAAAAAAAAAAAAGAAGAAAATACTCCTCTGTAACATGAGGACTGGGATGGTACTCATTGCTTCCCCCATGTTGACTACTTCAATATTTCTTCATATTTAAAAATTAACTTGTGCTTACTGAGGTATAATTTACATATAAGAGATTTATAAATCTAGGCTGGGCATGGTGGCTCATGCCTGTAATCCCAACACTTTGGGGGGCCAAGTAAGGTGAATCACTTGAGGTCAGGAGTTCGAGACCAGCCTGGCCAATGTGGCGAAAGTCTGTCTCTACTAGAAGTAAAAAAAAATTAGCCAGGCATGGTGGCACATGCTTGTAATCCCAGCTACTTGGGAGGCTGAGGCATGAGAATTGCTTGAAGCTGAGAGGTAGAGTTGGAGTGAGCTGGGATCATGCCAATTCACTCCAGCCTGGATGAGAGGGGGAGACTGTCTCAAAAAAACAAAAATAAGGCCGGGTGCAGTGGCTCACACATGTAATCCCAGCACTTTGGGAGGCCGAGGTGGGTGGATCACGAGGTCAGGAGATCGAGACCATCCTGGCCAACACAGTGAAATCCCATCTCTACTAAAAATACAAAAAATTAGCTGGGTATGGTGGCACGAGCCTGTAATCCCAGCTACTCAGGAGGCTGAGGCAGGATAATTGCTTGAACCTGGGAGGTGGAGGTTGCAGTGAGCCAAGATCGCACCACTATACTCCAGCCTGAGTGCCTGGGAGACAGAGCAAGACTCTTGTCTCAACAAAACAAAACAAAAGCAAAAACAAACAAAAAACTACAAATCTTAAAAGTACAGTTGAATTTTATGTATGAATATGCTTATATCAAGACATAGAAAATTCCCAGCACCTCAGAAGGCTCCCAGGGAAGTCAGTATTACCCTGCCATAGGTAATCATTATTCTCATTATTCTAATCTTTATCATCATAGATTACTTTTTGTTTGTTTGTTTCTGAGACAAAGTCTTGCTCTGTTGCCCAGCCTGGAGTGCAATGGTCTGATCTTGTCTCACTGTAACCTCCTCCTGCTGTGTTCAAGGATTCTCCTGCCTCAGCCTCCTGAGTAGGTGGGACTACAGGTGCATGCCATCATACCCAGCTAATTTTTTGTATTTTTAGTAGAGATGGGGTTTCACCATCTTGGCCAGGCTGGTCTCAAACTCCTGACCTCATGATCTGCCTGCCTTGGCGTCCCAAAGTGTTGGGATTACAGGCGTGAGCCACTGCGCTGGACCTGATGAACATCTTTCTATAACTGGCTCCCCCCACTTCAGTCTTATGTTTTTATCTTGGAACAGATACTCAGAAAGTTGTTAATTAAGCATAGAATCTGAAGAAACTTCGATATTCTTCAGAAATATTTCATCTTGGCTGTGAGAAAAGGTCGACGCTTTTGTAATCAAGGACTCTTCTCTAGAAGGCCAAACTCTGAATTTGCCAGATATATTTTAGTGTTGGTGAAAACACAACATATTCCTACTAGAATTGCCACCTGTTTGAACTCTATGTGGACTGCACCTTTCTGTTAACATTCATCTTCTCAAATGATATAATCAATTGGATTAGAAGTATCTTAGGTCACCTCTGACTGAACTTTGATGTTTCCCAAATCTATACCAGCATTCTTACCAGAAGAAATCTTTATACATAGCTGATATTAACTAATTTAATTCTCAGAGTTCACCAGATTTCTTCCATTTTCTGGAAGCATTTAATCACAGACTTGTTTGTACTACTTTCAATTATCTATATACCCATCACCCAATAGCACACGTCCAATAAATGCTAGTTGAATAAAGGTGAGGATAAAGGAGAAAATATCAGAAAAGGTCTCAGAGAATAAGATTTATGTCTGTTCTTTTCTGGCCGGGTGCAGTGGCTCACGGCTGTAATCCGAGCACTTCGGGAGGTTGAGGCGGGCGGATCATTTGAGGTCAGGAGTTTGAGACCAGCCTGGTCAACATGGTAAAACCCCATCTCTACTAAAAATACAAAAATTAGCCGGGCGTGGTGATGAGCGCCTGTAATCCCAGCTACTCGTGAGGCTGAGGTGGGAGGATCGCTTGAACACGGGTGGGTGGGGGCAGGGTGGAGGAGGCGGTGGTGGAGGTTGCAGGGAGCTGAGATAGCACTCTAGCCTGGGCGACAGAGTAAGACTCCACCTCAGAAAACAAAAAACCACAGTCTATTTTTTTTCTCTCTCGAATTCTACCTGTCCTTAAGGGGTACTAAGGAAAGGGATGGTGTGGGAGATGTCGAACTCCCAGAGACAGGAAGCTGAGGAGGAAGAAACACAAAAGCTTGCAGGTTCATCTGTTATATGGGATAAAAGAAAAAAAAAAAAAAAAGAGAAACAGAGCTTTCAGGAAAGATTTCTAAGGCCGCTGAAGTCATACCATCGATTAGAGCCTGACGCAAAGTTACCCTTTCCTGGCTGTTGCTGAAATCTAAGGGACGATGATGAGGTGGACAAGGAAGCATGGAGAAAACGTCCGAAGGAAGCAATCGACTGCACATGCTGAGACGAAGGGAAGAGTCGAGTGGATTTCAGCTTAGGTGTCTGTAAGTATGTTGGTGCATTTCAGGAAAAGACGGCAAAGGTGAGGTTGTTTGCATGCGTTCGCGTTTGGATAGGCTGAGGTTGAGTTTGAGGTGCTCGTTGGGACACGTAGGTTGAAGTATTCAGTAAGTAGTTAGGTATAAGGGGGTCTGAGCTTCTGAAACAAATTTGGATGTTAGTTGCAAGTATAGAAATGGGTAAGACTTTAGGATAAAATTGGAGATAGGGATACAGAGTCCGGCTGGACTCGCAGATTTAAAGATGGGCAGTGGAACGGGGAGCAGGATAAGAAAAGTCGGCGAGGTAAGAAAAACGGAGGGCGACATTTTGAAAGCCAAGGGAGCAAGTTTCAAGGCCGCCTCCTGGAGGTCAAGAGGAGGATGACTAGTCTACTGTAGCTTCGGTCAAACCGCCTTCCGAGGAGTGCAGGCGTGTGGGGGTGGAGCAGAGACAGGCCCCAGCCGGCGGCTACATGGAGGGGCGAGAATGGAGGCAGCCTTAATAGTACGCGTATTTTGAAAGGGAATTTGGCTGTGACCAGACAGAAAGGGCGGGACTTGGTACTTCATAGCTCAGGAGGATAATCAGCCTCAGAATCCCCTATTCTTGTGTGAGAGTAATCCTCCTCCGTCTGTGGATTTCTTCTGCAGACCCTTGGAGGTCCATCCTGGGATTTGACGACTGTAAACTGGGGACAAGCAAAACAAAACCCACAGTGCCACTCGGTAAAAAAAGAACCAGCGTTTTGTTTGAAAGCCTACTCTCTTTAAAGGTCCTGGCATGCAAATAAGGGGCTTTAATGTGGCTGTCAGCGATTGGTAGATAGTGACAACATCCGTCATTTCCTTTCGGCGCAGGATGCAAACCGAGAGGCGGCTTTCTTCTTCCCTATTGGCTGTTGGATACGGCTCCGCTTTCAGCCAATCAAGCGGCTTCCCTTCACCCCTCCCGGTGGCTCTTATAAATTACATCAAATTGGTTATCCCTTCCACATTCTTCTCCTTGAAAAAGAAGCTGTGACTGCAATTTTAGCCGTAATGTCGGGACGCGGAAAGCAGGGGGGCAAGGCCCGCGCTAAGGCCAAGTCGCGCTCGTCCCGCGCTGGCCTCCAGTTCCCGGTGGGGCGAGTGCACCGCTTGCTGCGCAAAGGCAACTACGCGGAGCGGGTGGGGGCCGGCGCCCCGGTGTACCTGGCGGCGGTCCTCGAGTACCTGACTGCGGAGATCCTGGAGCTGGCGGGCAACGCGGCTCGGGACAACAAGAAGACGCGCATCATCCCTCGCCATCTGCAGCTAGCTGTGAGGAATGACGAAGAACTCAACAAGTTACTCGGGGGTGTCACCATTGCCCAGGGCGGCGTCTTGCCCAACATCCAGGCTGTCCTGTTGCCCAAGAAAACGGAGAGTCACAAGCCTGGCAAGAACAAGTAATTAAGAGGCTTGACACCATACCCATTCACCCCAAAGGCTCTTTTAAGAGCCACCAAAGTGTCAAATGAAGGGCTGATAACGAAACAGCGCATTAGCTCTTTCTTTGAAAACTTGGGTGGCTCTAAAAAGAGCCTTTGGTCTTTGGTTTGTCTGCATTTATTTGCTTTTGGCTTTGTGGCTTTCGGTTTTCTTTGGTAACAGAACGGCTTGGATGTTGGGCAAGACACCGCCCTGGGCGATGGTGACTTTGCCCAGCAGCTTGTTCAGTTCCTCGTCGTTGCGGATGGCCAGCTGGAGGTGACGGGGGATGATGCGCGTCTTCTTGTTGTCCCGAGCCGCGTTGCCCGCCAGCTCCAGGATCTCGGCGGTCAGGTACTCGAGGACCGCCGCCATGTAGACGGGCGCGCCGGCACCCACCCGCTCTGCGTAGTTGCCCTTGCGGAGCAGGCGGTGCACTCGCCCTACCGGGAACTGCAGGCCGGCGCGGGACGAGCGCGACTTAGCCTTGGCGCGAGCCTTGCCTCCTTGCTTGCCACGACCAGACATGACTAACACCAAGGCTAAACACAGACAAAGCTCAGAACCTCGGAACAAAATAAGATTGAAAGATCACCAAGAAGAAAGCCTTTATAAGCTTTCTTAGGGGTGGGGTCAAGGACGAGTTTTTCATTGGTCCTAATTTGGCTTCAGAACCAGCCAATCAAGTCAAGAGTCGGTGTCGTTACGTAGACATTGCTGAAAACGCAAGGTCCACACACGGACCAATGGAAGTGAATGAGTCTCGGAGCCCTAATTTGCATAAGGTGGTTATAAAAGGATCAGGCCCGCCCATTCTCTTACTTCTTTTCTTGGCTAAGTCGCGTTGGTACTGTGTCTTACCATGCCTGAACCGGCAAAATCCGCTCCTGCTCCTAAGAAGGGCTCTAAGAAAGCGGTCACCAAAGCCCAGAAGAAGGACGGCAAGAAGCGCAAGCGCAGCCGCAAGGAGAGCTACTCCATCTACGTGTACAAGGTGCTGAAGCAGGTCCACCCCGACACCGGCATTTCATCCAAGGCCATGGGCATCATGAACTCCTTCGTCAACGACATCTTCGAGCGCATCGCGGGGGAGGCGTCCCGCCTGGCGCACTACAACAAGCGCTCGACCATCACGTCCCGCGAGATCCAGACGGCCGTGCGCCTGCTGCTGCCCGGCGAGCTGGCCAAGCACGCCGTGTCCGAGGGCACCAAGGCGGTCACCAAGTACACCAGCTCCAAGTGAGTCCCTGCCGGGACCTGGCGCTCGCTCGCTCGAGTCGCCGGCTGCTTGACTCCAAAGGCTCTTTTCAGAGCCACCCACCTAATCATTAGAAAAGAGCTTGTTCACTTCCTTAGTTTCACAAAGTGAGTTATTTTAGCGTAAGGGTCGTGGGAAATAGCACACGTTGCTTAATCATTTGGAACTCGAGGTCCCCAGTGCATGATTGGATTTGCTTTTGAATCTAGAGCGTGTCTTTATTAATTGTGCTGCTTAGCTTTCCCAGGAGTCCGTTCTCATTTACGATGTTGGGAATCCGACTCTTTGCCAGCCCCCACCCCCGCCTCACACGCTGGCGCCCTGGTGGCTTCGTTGGGTCTGTTTCATCATTCTAAAACGAAGTGGCTGAGTCCGGCTGTCACTTAAGAGAACTCTGGGACACAATTCAGTCCGGGTTCCGCAAACACTGCGTGACAGCTCTGTATGACTGACGCTTCGCGGCAGCTTTTGTGTCCGGTTACCAGTTCTGCCCTGGGATGGGGCCTCCTGTGGATGCCAGCCGTTCTGTGTACTTTGGACGAAGCCCGCGCAGCCGGGTCCCAGCCTTTTCCTGATTGGGCGACATGACTATTCAAAATTCTGCGCAGCTTTCTAATTTGTAGATTTCAGTTTCCGTGGTTCGCTTTGAGACTCCTATTTCTGGGTTTGTGGATAATTTTTGCGTTTAATGGTGTCTGCTTTAAATGGTAACGCTACGGCCCCGGGTCGCTGTAAGACACCATGTAGATATGAGTTCAAAAGTCACCCGAGACCTTCTACGTCATCCACTCAGGAATTCGCGCCTCTCATAGTTCCCGGTCTGGTTTTATCTTCCTCGTAGCAGCTGTCTGAAATTGGCTTGTCTGTTTTCTTGTTCATGGCATTCTCAAGCCCTTGACAGACCGGACGGTCTAGTTTTCCCGTGCATCTTCAGCTCCAGTCAGAGTCTGGCACATTATGGACACTTAAATACTACGTATTGAATTAATATTGTTGGGTTAATTTTTCCATCCCACCTTTTTTTTTTTTTTTTTTTTTTTTTTTTTTTTTTTTTTTTTTTTTTTTTTTTTTTTTTTTTTTTTTT